CCAGGTCATTTATAAAAATGACAAACAGCAGTGGCCCCAAAACAGATGCTTGAGGTACACCACTAGTAACTGAACTCCAGGATGAACATTTCCCATCAACCACCACCCTCTGTCTTCTTACAGCTAGCCAATTTCTGATCCAAACCGCTAAAATCACCCTCAATCCCATGCCTCCGTATTTTCTGCAATAGCCTACCATGGGAAACCTTATCAAACGCTTTACTGAAATCCATATACACCACATCAACCGCTTTACCCTCATCCAACTGTTTGGTCAAACAGTAACTAATAAACTCACTGTTCCATTAATTAAAAAAAACCTGGTTAAATTGGCTCTTTTTAAAATATAACATTTATTTGTTCTGGAAGAAAGAAAACTAGTTGTGATCAACTGAGGGAACAGGTGAGCAAAAGGAAGCCAGTTAGTCTCCTTCCCCAGGAACATGACAATTTAGGAAATCCCATCTGGAACTAGAATAAATTGGGGAATCTCACACAGCAATTGGTCATACATACTTTTCTTATATTTAAAGAACGGGCAAGTCACTGAATTATGCAACTTGCCCATTATGTTTAAACATAAACACCTCAACTTGAACATTTTCTTCTGTATTGGAAACTTTTATTTACCTTGGCTTCATGACATGTTGACAGGTCTAGCAAATCCTGTCTGTTCATTTCTTTCGCTACACGTCGAAAGGAATACAGCTTAGCAGCCTTGCATAAACGACTGGCTGTATGGACTCCATTTTTGAAAGGGGAACTAGAATAATAAAAAAAGTGGCAGAAGTATTTTTATAAAGCAAACTTAAACAAGAAATAGAAAACAATCATTACTCTTGGTATTGCAGCATAAGAACAATTTAGTTTTAAGTCTAGACTTTTTTGTTACCTTTGTTACACAAAGTTTGATTTCTTTGTTAGCAATTTCCTCATTGTACAGAAAGCATATTTCAAACATCAGTCTCTTGCCAAGGGTTTGCCTCATTTAGCACTCGCAAGGTGTTCAATAAACAACAGTTCAGCACAGGAACAGGCCCATCATGCCTGTGCCAACCATAATCTCATCTACCTACACATGATCCGCATCCCTCTGTTGCTATTCATGTGTCTATCTAAATGCCCCTTAAACTTTGCTATTGTACCTGCTTCTACCACTTCTATCCTTATCACTGCTTCTACCCTGGCAACATTCCAGCAGCCAATATCCTCAGTGTTTAAAAAAAAAAGACACTTGCTTTAAACATCTCCTTTAAACTTTTCCCCTTTCACCTTAAACTTATGGCCCCTAGTATTTAACATATCCATGCCTCAATTTTATACACTTCATCAGATTTCCTCTCAAATCCAAGTCTGTCCAATTTCTCCTTATAACTAATACACTCCAATCCAATTCAGGCAACATCCTGGTAAACCTCCTTCGCATCCACTCCAAAGCCTCCATCTCCTTCTTATAGTATGGAAACCAAAACTGCACACAATACTCAAAATATGGCCCAATTAAAGCTTTATACAGCTGCAACATTACTTGCCAACTTTTATATTCAAAGCTTCAAATGATGAAGGCGAGTATGCTGTACACCTTCTTTTCTACCTTATCCCCCAGTTGAGTTTCCAATTTCAGGGGGCTACAAACTTGCACCTCAAGAGCCCACCATTCATTTATTGAGCCCATTTATTGTAAGCTATCCTCTTGCATTCAACCTCCCAAACTGCATTACCTTACACTTGTCCAATTACTCCACCTGCCATTTCTCTGACCAACTTTCTAACTGATACATATTCTGCTGCATCCTTTGATAACCTTCCTCACTACACACAACTGCACCAATTTTCATGTTGTCTGAAAATTTACTAATCAGACCACCTATATTTTTATCCAAGTCATTTATATGTATAACAGAGGTCCCAGCACTGATCCTTGTGGAACACCATTCGTCAGAGCTCCAGTCAGAAAAATACTTCGCCACAACTACCCTTTGTCTTCCATGACCAAGCTAATTTTGTATCCAACTTACCAGCTCATGTGGATCTTCTGGACCAGCCTACCATAAAAGAGACCTTGTCAAATACTTTAGCAAAGTTCATGTAGACAGTATTCACTGCCGTAACCTCAATCATTTTTGTCACTTCCTCAAAAGCTCAAATCAAATTGGAGACATAAAACCTCCACTGCACAAAGCCATGCTTACTCTTCCTAAGAAGTCCATTTTTTACCAAATGAGTAAATCCTGTCCTTAAGTATTTTCTCCAATAATTTCCCTACCGATGACGTAAGGCTCACTGGCCTATAATTTCATGATTTTATCCCTGTTGCCCTTCTGAAACAAAGGAACAACACTGTCTATTCTCCAGTCTTCTGGGTCCTCACCCGTGGCTAGAGGATACAAAGATCTCTGTCAAGGTCCCAGCAATTTCCTCCCTTGTCTCCCTCAGTATCCTGGGATACATCCAATCAGGCCCGGGGACTTAACTACCTTAAAGTATTTTTCAAGCTACCCAAAACCAGCTCCTCAATCTTGATATGCCCTAGAATATCAACATACCCCTCCCTAATCTTATCATCTATGTTCTTTTCCTTAGTGAATTCTAATGCAAAGTACTCATTAAAGGAGTGCCTACTTCCTTTGGTTCCATGTGTAAATTCCCTCTTTATTCCTCAAAAGGATCTACCTTTTCCTGACATTCCCTCCTGCTCCTAAATACATATACAATGCCTTGGGATTCTCCTTAATCCTACTTGGTCTGTTTTAGGCCACCTAATTCCTTGTTTAAGTTCTTACCTGCTTCCTTTATGTTCACCAAGGGCATTGTCTAATCTCCCCAAACAAAAAAAAAGGCTAAAATGTATTTTCCATACATGTCCACCTTCCCATATTTTGCTGAAAGCGTCATTTATGGACAGTTTCATTGAATGTTTCCCTCAGTGAGCTATGGAGACTTCTCTCGCAATCTTTTGCTCTTACTTCTTGTTGGATCGGTCAGTTGCAAAGTCAGAAGTGAACCCTGCTGCCAGGGCCTTCCGGTTTTGACATCAAAAATGTCACGTTTAAAGCTCAGCTGCTTAAGTCAGGAACTGCCAAAGTTGCAGCTTGACTGTCATTATAGAGGACTCAAGTTAGAAACAGAAATTGGAGCCCCAGCTTGTAGTCAAATACCTGGAGGTTCTGGGGTGGTGGATACAGGGACATTTTCTTTATCCAAGACTGCCAAAGGAGGCCATGGCAGCCTGACTGAGATAGCCACCTCAGGCAGTCCCCCACCTAGCAATGTAGAAACAAATTCAATGGCCTTCTGTGCTCTGCATTTATAAGTGCCATTTCACATTCACTCTTCCACTGCACACACCTCCCCCCAAGGCAACTGGTCTATTACTGAGTGTTGTATGCGTCACCTTTGCTCAATGATTCTCACCTCAAACTTACCAAACTGCTAAATCTTTCGGCTGTCTGCACTTCCTACATACTCGCAGGGGATGCCTCAACGTATTTCCTGCTCTGGCACCACCATTAATAGTTCTCAGCCACTTCCATCTCACTCAATCCCTCCTTTTCACCAGGGTGGTTGTGACTCGAGAAAACCCACTTCCTATGCATGCTATAGTAGATTCTACATTCTATTTGGTATTGCCCTCTTCAGTTATTATCCCCTCTGTGCCTGTGTAATTAAAAAAAAACAAACATTCATGGGTTGAGGGCATCATTAGCTGAGCCATCTCTAGTTGCCCTTGAGAAAGTAGTGGGGAATTGCCCTCTTGAACTGCTGCAGTCCATGCGCAGTAGGTAGATCCACAATGCTGTTAAGGAAAGTTTTCCAGGATTTTAACACAGCAACACTGAAGGAATGACAACTGGTTTCCAAGTCAGGATGGAGAGGGGAACTTGCAGATGGTGGCGTTCCTATGCTTTCCTTGTCCAATTGTAATGTCTCTTACTGGAGTTTCCCCACTTTCTGCAACACAGCATTAGACCTATGATAATCCTCCATTGATGTTTATTGCCCAAATCCCCAGAACCATCTGTGGCTAGCCCATACGACTCAAATTGGACAATGCTCTTGGACTACGGTGGCATCCTTGACTTACTTTAATCTCTCTTAATTTGACAAAGAGCTACTGCCCTTCAAAGTTTAGGCATGGTCATCTGGTTGAAGCACATGCAATGTATTTGCCACAGAAGCTGCTAAGATTTGCTGTAGATATGACACTGATGTAGCATGGTGCCATACTGTTACATCTTCACACTCCAAAGTGATCCCTGCTGGTAGCCATGACATGCTGCCTAGCTTTCGGTCTGTGCTAAGAAGCAAAGCAAGGCAGTGATATTACGAGCATCCATGTAAGTGAAAGTGGGTGACTACTAGGAAAGCAAGCTAGCAGCCCCAAGATGCAATCTACAAAGATACACAAGATGGCAGTGTCCATCCATGCACAGTGATCTGGCATAATCTGGACTCACCACAAACTCAGTGGCTACAACAGCAAGTGAGAGGCCAGGAATACTGCGGTAAGTAGCTCAACCCCGGACACCCCAAAGCTTGTCAACCATCTACAACGCACAATTCAGGAGTGTGATGGAATACTCTCCACTTGCCTGGATCAAATGAAACCTCCTAATTTTTTTATCATCCGTAAACTTACTAATCATGCCTTGTACATTCACGTCCAGATCATTTATGTAAATAACAAATAAAAGGTCCCAGCACCAACTTCTGTGGCACAAAACTAGTCACAGACCTCCAGTCCGAGAAACAACCTTTAACCGTTACCCTCTGCTTCCTACCATCGAACCAGTTTTGAATCCAATTAGCTAGCCACCCCTGGATCTCATGCAACCTAACCTTCATGAATAGCCTGCTGTGCGGGACCTTGTCAAAGGCCTTACTAAAGTCCATATAGACAACATTAACTGCCCTACCCTCATCTATCCTCTTGGTTATCTCCTCAAAAAAACTCTGAAAGATTTGAGACATGACTTCTCACGCACAAATCCATGTTGAATATCCCTAATCAGACTTTGACTATCCAAATGTTGATTGGTCCTGTCCCCTAGTATCCTTTCCAGTAACTTGCCCACCACTGATGACAGGGTCATTGGCCTGTAGTTCCCTGGCTTGTCTTTGCTACCTTTCCTAAGGAATGGAACAACATTAGCCATCCTCCAGTCTTCCAGAACTTCACCAGTGGCCAAAAGATGAAGCAAGAATCTCTGCAAGGGCCTCTGCAATTTCTTCCGTAGCCACCCACATGTAGGAGGATGGACTTGATCAGGCCCAGGGGATTTATCCACCTTCATGCAATCTAAGGTTGCAAACACCTCCTTTCTGGTAATGTATGTGTGCTCCAAAACATCCCCACATGTTTCACTTACTTTCTTAGCATCCTGATTCTGTCCTCAATAAACACAGAAGAGAAATATTCGTGAAAAATCTCCCCCATCTCCTGTGGCTCCACACACAAATGGCCATGCTGATCTTTAACGGGACCTATTCTCTCCCTGGCCACCTTTTTACTCTTAATATAGTTGTTGAACCTCTTGGGATTATGTTTAACCTTATCTGCCAGATCCATCTCATACCCTCTTTTTGTTCTTCTGATGATTAGAATCGGAATTTGAATTCAATAAATATCTGGAATTAAAGAGTCTAATGACGACCACGAATCCATTGCTGATTATCGGAAAAACCCATCTGGTTCACTAAAGTCCTTTAGGGAGCGAAACTGCCATCCTTACCTGGTCTGGCCCACATGTGAATCCAGACCGA